TTGATATATTGGACGGCTATATTCAGACACCGGAAGTGTTCCGGGTGATTTCGGAGAAAACCGGAGAGCCGGAGGGTTACCGGAACCCCCCCGGGAGAAGTAATGGGCCATATGGGCCTTAGTGGAGAGAGAGGGGGGCTGCCAGAGGTGGGCCGCGCGCCTCCTCCCCCTGGTCTGAATTGGACTAGGAGAGGGGGGCGGCGCCTCCCTTTCCCTCTCCCTCCCCACTTCTTTCCCCCTCCTAGTAGGAGTCCTACTCCTACTAGGAGGAGGACTCCTCCTGGCACGCCTATAGGGGCCAGCCGGCCTCCTCCCCTTGCTCCTTTATATACGGGGGCAGAGGGGCACCCCTAGACACACAAGTTGATCCACTTGATCATATTCTTAGCCGTGTGCGGTGCCCCCTTCCACCATAGTCCTCGAGAATATTGTAGCGGTGCTTAGGCGAAGCCCTGCGACAGTAGAACATCAAGATCGTCACCACGCCGTCGTGCTGACAGAACTCTTCCCCGACACTTTGCTGGATCGGAGTCCGGGGATCGTCATCGAGCTGAACGTGTGCTAAAACTCGGAGGTGCCGTAGTTTTGGTGCTTGATCGGTCGGGCCATGAAGACGTACGACTACATCAACCACGTTGTGCTAACGCTTCCGTTGTCGATCTACAAGGGTACGTAGATCACACTCCCCCCTCTCGTTGCTATGCATCACCATGATCTTGCGTGTGCGTAGGAAATTTTTTGAAATTACTACGAAACCCAACAGCAACGGCGCCAGAAAATCGTTCTTGCTACCTCTTGAGCACTGCGTTGGTTTTCCCTTGAAGAGGAAAGGGTGATGCAGCAAAGTAGCGTAAGTATTTCCCTCAGTTTTTGAGAACCAAGGTATCAATCCAGTAGGAGACTACACGCAAGTCCCTCGTACCTACACAAACAAATAAGAACCTCGCAACCAACGCAATAAAGGGGTTGTCAATCCCTTCACAGTCACTTACGAGAGTGAGATCTGGTAGAGATAATAATAATAAGATAAATATTTTTGGTGTTTTTATGATATAGATTGAAAGTAAAGATTGCAAAATAAACGGTGCCAGAGATAACTTGTTGATGGGAGATTAATATAATGGAGAATAGACCCGGGGGCAATAGGTTTCACTAGTAGCTTCTCTCAAGATAACACAAGTATTACGGTGGGTGAACAAATTACTGCCGAGCAATTGATAGAAAAGTGCATAATTAGGAGAATATCTAGGCATGATCATGTATATAGGCATCACGTCTGAGACAAGTATACCAAAACGATTTTGCATGTACTACTATTACTCCACACATCGACCGCTATCCAGCATGCATCTAGAGTATTAAGTTCATAAGAACATAGTAACGCATTAGGCAAGATGACATGATGTAGAAGGATAAACTCAAGCAATATGATATAAACCCCATCTTTTTATCCTCGATGGCAACAATACAATACGTGCCTTGCTGGCCCTACTATCACTAGGAAAGTACACCACAAGATTGAACCCAAAGCTAAGCACTTCTCCCATTGCAAGAAATATCAATCTAGTAGGCCAAACCAAATTGATAAGTCGAAGAGACTTGCAAAGATAACCAATCATACATAAAAGATTTCAGAGAAGAATCAAATATTGTTCATAGATAAACTTGATCATAAACCCACAATTCATCGGATCTCGACAAACACACCGCGAGAAGAGTTACATCAAATAGATCTCCAAGAATATCGAGGAGAACATTGTATTGAGATCCAAAGAGAGAGAAGAAGCCATCTAGCCAATAAATGTGGACCCAAAGGTCTGAAGTAAACTACTCACCCATCATCGCGGAGAGGCCATGGAGTTGATGTAGAGGCCCTCCGTGATCAATTCCCCCTCCGGCGGAGCTCCGGAAAAGGCCCCAAGATGGGATCTCTTGGGTACAGAAGCTTGCGGCGGTGGAAATAGGGTTTCGTGGTGCTCCTGGATGTTTTCGGGGTATATGGATATATATATAGGAGTGAGAAGTAGGTTGGTGGAGTCACTAGGGGCCCACGAGGGCGGAGGGCGTGCCCCCCTGCCTCGTGGCCTCCTTGTTGATTTCTTGACGTCCACTCCAAGTCCCCTGTATCACGTTTGTTCCAAAAATAACTCTCCCGAAGGTTTTATTCCGTTTGATATTCCTTTTCTGCGTAACATTGAAATAGAAAAAAAAACAGCAATTTGCACTGGGCCTTGGTTAATAGGTTAGTCCCAAAAATAATATAAAAGTGTATAAATAAGCCTATTAACATCCAAAACAAATAATATAATAGCATGGAACAATCAAAAATTATAGATACGTTGGAGACATATCAGATATCATTACAACATACCATGTACTGAATAGATGAGAATACAAGATAAAGGCTTACACTCGCCACAAGCTACAATATCAATACAACAGTTCATCAATACATGGCAATCATCATACAGAAGAGCAGGATCCGACTAAGGATGAAATCAAACGAAAAAGAAGAATGACATCCACCCTGCTAATCCTAGGTTCCCCCGACCCGGAACCTATCCCTTGATCGAAGAAGGAGAACTCCAAACAAGCAAGCATCGCACTCGCGTCAGACCATCGCACTACCTGTACCTGCAACTGTTGTTGTAGTAATCTGTGAGCCACGAGGACTGAGCAATCCCATTACCATGGGTATCAAGACTAGCAAAGCTTAATGGGTATGGAATGGATAAGTGGTGAGGCTGCAGCAAGCAGCTAAGCATTGTATGGTGGCTAACTTACGAGTACAAGAATAAGCTGAGAAACTACGCAACGGTCGCAAACTAGTAATGATCAAGAAGTGATCTTGAACTACTTATGTACAAACATGACCCAACCGTGTTCTTCTCGGACGCACCCGAAAAGAGACAGTCACGGTTACGTATGCGGTTGGTGTATTTTAATAGAGTTTAGTTCAAGTCCACTACAACCGGATATTTACAAATTCCCATCTACCACATAACCGCGGGCACGGCTCTCTAAAGTTTAAACCCTATAGGGGTGTCCCAACTTAGCCCATGACAAGCTCATGATCCGTGGAGACAATCCTCCATCGCGGGACCCTCCTATCAGACTCGGAACCCCGATGCACAAGACATTTCGACAATGGTAAAACAAAACCAACAAGACCACCCAGTGCGTCGATACCCCGATAGGAGCCACGCGTATCTCGTTCTCAGGACAACACCGTCTATGAGAAGTGGACGATAGCCTAAATACCATCGAGTTACCCCAAGGCGGCATCGCCGACTGCTAGGTAGGTGGACCAACACTCGTGTGGAGCACTGCCCGGGGGGTTGATTAAGGGACCTCAGGGGTCGGCAAGTCTCTATGCAAGTTTTAGTTGTTATTAGGAAAATGGTAAAACCAATGTTGGGCCTTGCTGGAAGAGTTTTATTCAAAGCGAACTATCAAGAGGGGCCCATACACCCTCACTGTGTTAGGGACGCAAAATCGAGGAACAAAACACTGGTACGACAGAAACTAGGACGGCAAGAGTGGAACAAAACAGCAGGCAAAAGGTCAAGCCTTCCACCCTTTACCAAGTATATAGATGCATTAATTAAATAAGATATATTGTGATATCCCATGATATACATGACATCCATGTCCCAACATGGAACAACCTGCAACTGCACCTGCAACTAGCAACGCTATAAGAGGGGCTGAGCAAAGCAGTAACATAGCCAAACAACGGTTTACTAGGAAGGGTAAAAAGGTTAGAAGTCGTTTCATGGCATATTGGGAGGCTTCATAAACAAGTGGTAGGTAGCGCGACATAGCGATAGCATCGAGACAACTAGCATAGCAAAGATAGTAGTGAGATCCAAGGTAACGGTCATCTTGCCTGAACTCCCGCTAGGAAGAAGATCGAATCCATGAAGTAGACGAACCAACGTAGTCGAACGGATCCTCACAATCGCAATGTAACCGGATCAAGGAGAAGTGCAACCAGAAAGAGGCAAACATCATGGTAAACAACCAAGCATAAACATGGCATGATGCACAATCAAGTATGATGCATGTCTGGTTTAATGATTCATGGCATGGCAAAGTGCAACAAAAAATACTACAAATTAAGTGGAGCTCAATATGCAACGAGTTGCATATTGACGATACACCACATTCAATTATTTAGTTCACTCCTGTTTAATCTACTCAATAATATTAAATGTTGGTTAACATGAAAAGAGGGCGAACATAATAAAACTACCTATCTAGGCAAGTTTATATGAGGCCGGAAACAACAAACAACAATTCCGGAAAATCCTCATGCGCATATTTCGAATTAGGTACTGTTTTACCTAAAATCATATTTTTAGAGTTGTTAAACATGCAAAGTAATGTCACCATGTTAATCTATGCATTTTTCCAAGCAAGTTACATATATAATTTATTTAATACTGAGCTACGGTTGATTAGTTATGAAATAAATCATTTTAACAAGTCGTTTAGCAATTTTTAATGCAAACAACAATTTGTTTGTGGTTAACATGCATGAGGGTGACACATTCATGGTTGGGTGCAATTTTATGAAAATGTTGGTATAATATGATATGAGGCATTTGTCGCCATGGCGGAAGGAAAGAGGTGCCATGGCGGCGAAAATGGAAATGGTGCCACGGCGGTGAAAATGGAAATGGTGCCACGACAACATTCCGATGATCCGGTGGCTCATTAAGAAACCGGTGCAACAAAGCAAAAATGCGGAGGTGCGGAACATGCTAGAGATGATGGGGTAGTCCCGGTTACCGGGTTCCCACATGTTGGTGGCACGGTCAAGCAAGGAACGACGTGCAACTTACAATTCGGTCATGAGCATCGCATACATAATATCCATTCATCCACGGGCGGTCGCCTTGGCAGTTATACCTTTGTAGCGTGTGTTTTCGGAGCGGATCGGGTTCGATGCGGTGTAGATGTACATGGTGCAGTCAAAGTAGTGATACTATCGGTCCTCAGCGACGGTAGTGGAAGTAGTGGTACATGGCGACAGAGGGGAACTTGACGAATCCAAGGTCTTCAGGGGTCGTTATTGAGCTTGTCAAATCCCACGACGATGGTAGTGGATTGAGCTTGTCAAATCCCACGACGATGGTAGTGGACGTCATGGAAGTAGTGGTACACGCGGTCTTGGTGATTCCGAAAACGGCGGTACAAATACTTGGTGTCAATGTGGTCTTCGGGTACTTGACGATTCCCAACGGGGCAGCAAAACGTAGTCGACCTAACGTTTCAATCTGGTAGTAGATTGAACGTCCGTGTAGTCTTGCCGGTGTGGGTACTTGGCGAATCTACGAAGGCGTTCTTGCCGGTCTTGATGGTCCGAAACGAAGCAACACCAGGGCCTCGAGTGGGCAGCTGCAAGGAGGCGATGGTGGTGGTTAGCAGCAGGAAGCATGCACGGGGCTCGTGGTGACAACGACGGCGAACAGAGGCGTGTGGAGAAGAAGCAACTGGCAAGAGGGGTGGCTCGAGGCATGAAGGTGAGGCGGCAGCCTACTGCAAGGGGCGAGGCGAATGAAGGCGAGGTGGTGGAGGCCAGGTCCAACGCGGGGAGATGCGAGGGGACAGGATCCACCCATGATCTCGCCGGACCTTGGGCAGAACGGCGTCAGCGGAAGGGGATGAGGGCCAGCGGCGGCCTGAGTTCCTTGCGACTTCCAGGGCGAGGAAGGAGGCGCCGGATCGGGAGGCGCGGGCACGAGGACGAGGAAGACTGAGATGGTGTGGGGCAGCGACCTGCAAGGTCGCCAGCGCAGGCGCCATGGCTGGAGGCGGGGAGGCACTCGGGCGACGGGAGGAGCTCCGACGTCGGGCAGCCGTGGGCTCCTCTCGAGCGACGCGCTCGAGCAGACGAAGAAGGCTGGGGGAGGAAGGCGCGATGGAGGAGGCCGGCAAAGGCAGGCGCACAGAAGGGCGGTGATGACGGGGCTGGAAGGTTCGAGAGGAGGAGCTCGAGGCCATGCCTCCGCCTCTCGTGCGGGTGGCAGCGGGGCACGGAACGAGAGGGAGAGAGTGGATAGATGGGGATCGGTCGGGCTAGGGTTATAGGTTAGGTGGGCCTGTGGAATGGGCCGGTCTGGTTGGTCTGGCCCAAGAGGCCGGCGCCGCCGGTTCTCTCTCTCCCTCATATTTCTTTAGCAGAAAAGAAATAGAGAGAGGAAAAGAAAGAGAAGGTTAGGGAAAGATTTTGCACATGGGGTTAATTTTCCCGGACACATAAAAATATGCACGGTCCATGAAAAATAGGAGTGGGCATGATTGTAAGTTTTAAATTCAAACACCTTTGAATTTAATTCAAATGGGTGAATAGAGAGTGCTGGTTTGGAAGGTCCAAAAAAGTTAAGAATTTAGGAAGAGCCTCGATAAATGAGATAAGAATAGTTGGCAAAGTTTGGGGGCCAAACTTAAAGTAGAAAGGCCATGGGAATTATTTGCAAGTGGGTTACGATTAATTCCAAATTAATGGAATAATTTATTATAGCTCCTTAATAATATTGGGAGAATTTGATATGTTTTAAAGAGAATTTCACCATATAAATTCCCTTGATTTAAATGGATCGAAGATTTATACGGTTTATTTAGTTGAGTTTTAAAAGTGATTGCATGATGAGATGATGCAATGCAAATGATGCAATGATGAAAGTAACAAACAAATAAAATAACATAGCTGACACGCAAAACATGGAAGATATCTGGAGCGTCGGTCTCGGGACGTTACACTAGACCTCTCTCATTTCTCATGATATCTCTCCCATGCCCTCTCCCCCCGCCGGCCCCTCTACCCATGCCTCTCTCGAATACGTAATACACACACAAACCTCTCTAGGCCCTGCCAAATACATCAACTACACATTCACACATGTTACATCACGTACCCTATTGATCTAAAAAGCCCTCTCTTCACGTTTATTTCGCATACAATATTTCTTTTGAATAAAGTGTGGCCAAAAATTATTTTAGAATTTCCACATATATACAACATTACAAAGTTAGATGGAGGAGTATGAACGTTAATTTGCATTGCATGGTGTCCACAATGATATTTATTTCGCACTGTGATTTTTTTTTATTTTTATACTATATATAAAATTATTTATAATAAAGAGAAAGGAAGAGCATCTCTCTCTCCATCGCATACACCCCCACTGCGCCCCTTTCACGTACGCACACAAACTATCTCCAGGTCCTCTAAAAGTAACCCCCCAGCACATTCATGCATGTTTCATCTTTCTCTCGCGATATATACAGTGACGGTCATTGTATTTGAAGCGAAAGCACGATACATACATTGGACTTCAGAATCCACTCATTACGGTCACCATTTATGTTTTGTGGTTATTATATAGTCACGGGCTCACCGTACAGCTATGTATTTGCTCAAGACACGACTAGTTGACCAGTTAAATGCTCCACATGGCACCTCTAGTGTTGCATCACATTATCTCACTACCATTGGGCCACATGTCGGCTTGTAGCTACTCTACACTCTTATAAAAAACAGAGTTGGTGATGATGGTGTGCCTGCCATCCTGCAATATAGGTCGTCCGATTTATATCTGATGGATAGGAAGGAAACTATAACAATTTTGCAAAAAGGTACCCACACACCTCTCCACATTTGCAAATAAGGCCTTCCCTCGTTCATCCTTTTCTCTCACAAGATAAACTAGTCATACAAATGCATCTTGATGTTATGTGCAAAGCATGAGCATCTTGCTAGTAAGAATAAAAACAAACGACAAAAAAATATTGGACGGTGGTTCGAAGTCATGACCACGGACACAGAGGACAAGGTGACCTTGTATTGGTATGCTAAGCTGTCTGTTTTAACACAAAGGAGCCGGTGTGGTGATTATACACACACGCATGCATGCACACGAACTGCATGCACACAACACTCACACAAACACATGCAGCCACGCACGCACGCAACACTCACACATACACACGCAGCCACGCATGCATGCAACCCTCACACGCACACACGCACGCATGCATGCATGCACCACATGACCAACACACACTCTCACGCTCAAGTGCTCAAGCTACATGTGCATGCACACACATAAGGCCCTGACAGACACATACACAACTAGGTGATTCCCGCACACGGGTTGGAGTCTTGTCGCGCCTGCGTAAATTTGTGTTTATCTGACCTTTTTCCTATGCGAACTGACAGGTGGGACCCACAAGGAACATGGCCAGTTTAACTACTCAACATGGTGCCACATAGACTATTTGACCGGTCAACATAGTGCAATCCGATGCTGAACGGTGAGCAAGTAACCGTATAATCACCGCAAAACGTATATAGTGACCGTAATGAGCGTATTCTGAAGTTCGATGACCGTATTACGCTTTTCTCTCTGTAGGCCCTCCAAAACTACATCTCTACACGTTCTCGCATGTTACATCTGACAGCTATGCAATACAACACTACTACTACACTAACACAATAAATCATATGTGTTTTTAGTTATACTAGATATCATATTGTTACTTAATTATTCAGTTTGCATACATTAAATTGCCTTTGAAATGTATGGCCAGTATCATCTCCCGTGCGGGAAAAATCCAGCCCTTTCCTGTTTAATCGGGTCTGTATCGATGGATCGTGCGAAGCAGCAAAACTATAGTACTATAGTACTATATACAGTACAAGTAACAGTTCACTGGGCCGCTGTGTCGTGTCCTCCTCCGTTGTAAGAGTGGAGCGCTCGCTTTCATAAATGTTCTAGTCCCTTTCGCTGACATGTGGGACATCAAGCTACCAGGTCCACGTGCCATACCAAAATACAGTGCAGAGCAGCAGGGGTGAAGCACCCCAGTCATGACGCTGGCGTAGTAATGAGCAATGAGGCGTCAAATCACAAAGTTGCTCCTTTCCCGCAGTTAAGCTGGGGGGACGAAGTAATAATGCTAAAAAATAAGTTGGAGGAACGAAGCAACCATTATGTCACTCGTTGTTGAATCCGCTTCTCCCTCATCATCTTCAAGTTAACCATGTGTTGCTTCTGTCGTTGTTCTACCTCATGTGGGACGCGGATCGGCTTGGTAAAGCACTGAGACGTGGGACAACATGTTAGCAAACCGCCAGGCCAACGTCCTCTAAAAATAAGAAACCTCCCCCGCCATCCGCGCGGCAAAATCACCTCCTTTTTACTAATCTTGATTCTATAATTTTTTAAATCAATATAATTGAGATTTGTATAGATAGCACACATGAGCAAAACCAAGTGGTATGGTTAAGGGCATCCACAATGTGTAGCCAAATGTGAAAATAGCTTTTGGCATTGATGGGAACCATTGTGAATGGTGCTGCCAAAGCCAAAAAGATGGAAGCGAAGCTCCCTGATTGATTTATTGAAGGAATAGAACAATGCAACATCTCTCCTCTTTCTCCCATGCTTGGACGCATGTACAGTATAGAGCACAGAGTCTACTCCCCTGTCCCTTCTATCACAAATCACAAAGCAGTGAGGCGTCAAATCACAAATCACAGACGAAGCAACCATCATTTCACTCTTCGCTGACTCCGCTTCTCCATCGTCTTCTTCGAGAAACCACCTCACCGCACTAAGCTAGACGGACGACGCTATTGTGTAGTACTAGTAGTACTAGTACATTTACGGGTCCTTTGGTTCAATGGACTTCCTGGATGCAAATAAGGCGGTTGTCTCAGCTTGCAGGCGGCACTTGCGAACGACTTACCGTGGTCTCCCTCAATGGTGTTCTCTGTCGAACGCACTTCGCCAAACCACAACGTTCGAGATATCATCGATGTCACCGCAATGGGGAAGGAAGTCAAATAGTTACTACCTCCATTTTTATGCACAAGGCCACTATATCAAAATTACAATTTGCAAAAGGCCACTAACACTAATCGAGGCAAAATTGATGGGTTTGCCTCGTACTAGCAACCAAGGACAATAATATACCCTTGCATGCATGCGGAAGTGAGAAGGTTGGTTTGCATGGCGCTGCATTAATCAAGCGATGAGGAGTGAGATGGCTAGCTCTTTGGGCTTTGGAGAGAAAAATACGCATTAATTGACACGTCAAACAAGGATTCGTATCGATTAATCCCGCGAAGAAAAACCCTGCCTTTCTTTTTTAACACTAGTACTCCTAGTACGTATGTACTTGTATCCTGTTTGGGTCCAGGCCTTGCATTGCCATACTTCTTCACACATTTTTGCCAAGGTTTCCTAAAGTTTTCAAAATGAAAAGGAGGTACACTTGCGCACGGCTGTCGCGGTCGCACTGCACCCTCACACAGTCACTCCTGCAGGCCGCGGTCCCACCGCACCCTCACACAGTCGCTCATGCACGCCGCAAACCCAACCAAGGGAACGCACCCTCACTGACACGTGCTACCACATGTGAACAAACCAAACTCAGCCATCCTATCGCTGACACATAATTTTCGTTCATACAGTATGTTTATCCAACTGCATGTTAGGGAGGATCCGTACGGCCGTGCGGTGGTCTGTTGGGGAAGAACAAGAGGTGAGGAAGAAGGGTTAGGAGACGTAGGATATTCATCCAACCGCCTGAAATGGTAGACTGACCCAAATGATGAAAGTCAGGCGACTTGCATAACAATATATGTTTTTACACAGCAAAAGATCCCTAAAAACAACAACATAAAAAAAACTATCACTGCTCGCGGAACGAGACAGCCTCGTCGTCTTTGGCTGCCGGCACGAACCAGCCGTAGCTGCCGATGTGTGTCTTTGCACCGTGGTTGTCCTCGGCCTCCA